GGAATGGTACCATCAATGGGAAAGTGAATATAGGACACATAAAGAAGAACATGAGTTAAGAACGGGAGAATTAGATGAATGTTTAAATTGTGAATTATGTCATCCGATAGAAAATGAACCAATGGTATTCAAGAAATTTTGTGATGCATTATTTAAGTTCGAAGATACAATAATAATATATAATTATGTAACGATCAAGGGAGTAATAGATTTATTAAGTATGGATAATTCAGAAAGAGAAGATACAATACACAAGGGAAAATGTAGAGACATAATGGATAGAATAACGGAATCAATAAGATATAGGATACAACCAAAAATGAAAGAAAAAGGATTACGAACAATTATATTAGTAATTGTAAGAGATTGTATTGAAGGAGATTTAGAGAATGAAGTATTTGATAGATTAATTGGTAATCCTGAATTAATAGAACACAAATATATTTTGGAAGATTGGGATGTTGAAAGAAGGTTTGAAAAATTTTGGCAATGGTACAAGATCACATCGAAAGAAGTTGAACCATTACGAGTAAAGATGGGGGCAATAAAGACATTCAGGGAATTACTTTATGAAGAAGAAGGAATAGCTACGAATGAGGAGAAAGTAAAAGAATTAATGTCCAATATGGAATATGGGAATATAGACATAGAAAATGTTCACGAATATCACAGGAATATGGTACAAAAGATAATAAGAATATTTATAGATACTAGGGGCTTTACAAAAGAACCAGAAGATTCAGAAAGTGAAGATAGCTTAGAAAGTTATGAAATGAAAAAGAATTTTAACGTGAGTTTATATCTTAGATTTGAAAGATTCAGGTACTGGTGGAATGACAAATATGAAGGTAAACAAATACATACATATCATGAAAATGATTCACCAGAATGGTTCGAGAAGATGTTATCTGAGAGAGAGAATTTGCAAGAAGATACTGTAAGAAAACTGACAGATAGCATGACATTTAAAGATAGTGAAGATATAGACGCAGGAGATCCTATTATATTGGGAATAGATGATGGAGTAATAGAATGGATTGTAACAGATTTAAAAGAAGCGATGGAAAGAACACAAAAATTCAAGTTAGTGGAGATAGAGCAAGAAGAAGGTAATGAAATATATGATTCCGAAGAGGAAATAGAAATAATAGTGGAAGATGAAACGTGGAAGTTAAGTGAAATAAGGACAGGATTAAGACAACTGATAGTAAACCCAAAAGAAAAGCTCATCAGAGAAATAATGAAATTTGGAATAAAAGAAAAGATAGAAACGGGAGTACTGTTGACATATGATTTTATAAGATATTATATTTTTCAGGAGGGGAAATTTGATAAGTCTGAAGACATAAAGGATTGGATAGATTTGAGTACAAAAATATGTGGTAGATGCAATAAACAGAAATTAGATTATGTGATATCGGAAGATGACGGCAGATGTGAAGAATGTAATCGGGAAATACGGGAAGATGAACAAGATGAATTAATAGAACTAAAAAACAACTTAGAAAAATTAGGATACGAAATGGATTTATCGGAAATTCAAAGAATAAAGAATTTTGGAGTTAATAATCGAATAATGGTAACAGAAGAATTCATAGAAAGGTATATGGGAATAATAGAATTAGAAGATAGAGAGTTAAGAAAAGAGATTCATAAGTGGTTAAATGAGAATACAACTTGGTGCGAAAGATGCGAAATAAGATGGATGAATGATATGTTTAGATTAGAAGGAACTATATGCAAAGTTTGTGAGGAAGAAGATATTGATGAAATTGATGATCGGGTAAAAAGATTGCAAAAGATTTTTGAAGATATTGGAACAATGATAACTGAAGAAGAATTGTTAAGATTAACTAGTATGGGATATACAGATGGAGAAATTTTAGATAAAGAATTTATTGAAATCTTTCAAGAAAATAAGAATGAGTCGGAATAAGAATTGAAGAAAAAGTTAGATAAGTTGTTGAAAGAACAAGCAGGAATAATAGATAGTGAAGAAAGTGGTGAAAAGAGTGATAATGAAGAATCAGAAGAAGATAATACAGATGATTCAGAAAAGACTGGAGAAATATTAAGTCCGGATGAAATATGGGATGAAAATATTGAAAATTTT